CTCCCCTTTCCGCACCTTCTACAGGAGAACCTTGTACTGAGACGGGAGGCGTGCAATGGAACGCTTTATCCGCCACCCGAATCGATGACAAATATCACCATGAAAACGCTCCTTCTCATCCCCACGTACTCTTGCCCGGCGAACGAGCGCATTGGGAAGTGGGGGGACGGCGGAAAGGTGAGTTCTGAGTTGACCGAGAAAACGCTGCTGCACTCGTTGATGCGTTTATGCTTGAGAAAAAAAAAAAAAACATCCTTAAATCAGTTTTGAGATTACAAAAATGTGACTCATGTGCACTCAAGTGAACCTCTTGTGTTACAACCCCAGCTTGTTGCAGCTCGAAATCTTCCCACTCTCTACTCCATTCCCCACCCAATCTCCCTCGACCCACACAAATCTCCATTCGCCCAACCCCCTCCACTTTCCCAAACCCCTCTAGTGGACTTGCCTTCTGCCAGGCGCCATTCAGACGGACCCTGTGGTGTACAGGTGAGAGGGGGCGAGAGAGGTGCTTAGCAAATAGATGGGGCAGTCTAAGTAGAACAAATAAGTAGGCCAGCTCTTCACCTTGTGAGCAATATTTGAGAATCAAATAGATGTTTGCTTGTGAGCGCAAGGGCGCGCGTGTGAGCGATTTTTCAGATTTTTGGAGAAAGGGAAAACAGATGGGTAGCCCGGCTCTTCATCTTGTGTGCTCCTCCCTCCTATCATTCCTTCCTGCAATTTGTGCCCAACAATTCCCCACCACAGCATTGGCAGTTTCGGGCAGTACGATTTTGAAGACGCCATTTACAAGCTTCTGCATGTGCAGCCGCACACGTTCGACCCGTTTCTCCACCCCAGCACCGCGGCCCACATGGAGACCGTCCCCTCCCTCATCTTCCACCCCATCGGCCTCTCTGCAAACTCCTCCCTCGAGTACAACCAAAAGAAGTTCTCTGGCGCACAGTTCATGACCCTGGGGGGGATCATGCAGCTGTTGAATCATACTTATGTGGACGTTTTCAAGATTGACTGCGAGGGGTGTGAGGAGGCGCTGATTGCAGAGTTTGGGGAGGCGAATGGGAATGCCTCTGCGAAACTGAGTTTGCACGGAGGGACGCTGCCGTTCGGGCAGATCTTGATCGAGATTCACCAGTAAGTCTTCTTGATGTGGCATTTCAACAGTGAGTTGACTCAAAGACGTATACTTTCATCACTGAATATCGTTCTCCCAGCGGATGTGCACACTCAGCTGTGTTTGCACAATGCGACTAGGTAGTGACGAGGACTGCCGCTCATTTCTTTGTCCATCACGGTTTCTTCCTTCTCCCTTTCTGTAACCCTTCCTCCACCAGAACGGATAAGCCCGAGGTCACCTTGGCACTGGTATACACGTTGGAGAAGCTTGGGTATCGCATGTTCAGTGTCGAGTTCAACCATGAATGCTGGCATTGCTGTGAGTTGAGCTTGATACACGAGAGCCTCGTGCGGCCAAGTAGCGACAAAAACTGCCGCCCGTTCCTGGCTTCGGAAGAGTCTGTAAAGAAGGAAGATGTGAATGCTGTAATGCAGGAAAAGCTGGGCTCAGGAGGCGAAGTGAAGGAATCGGAGGGAGTATCTGACACTAGCAACTTCCGCCTTGATTGAGAAGTGCTCATGATCTTAGAGACGGCATATGGTTACGCCGATGTCAGGAATGTATTATTTATATACAGCTTATTATCAAATGTTCCACATCCTTGGAAACTTGGTAGTACACCCCAATGGAGCTAAATTTGAATCTGGGTGATAACCATCAAGTTGCTGATAATTGGTCTGCTATAGTCTCAGATTACGACCACATGGGTAATAATCAAGGCTGGCTTTATCATTATCAAGCATATCCCTAGTCAGTTTGGCCTGAGGGAGGGAGTGAGAAACTAAGAGTGCTGATGCTTTTGCTTTATCCACCTTCTCATAACATCATTCCGTTCCAACCCTATATCGAGAAAGTGGCGTTTCCCCGATTTCATGGAAAGCCTGACCAACGAGAAGAGGCTGCGGGTGCTCTCCAAGAAAAGCCCGCCAAAACAGTTCGATTTCTTCACACAGAACCTCATTGGACGGCTGCACTCGCAGCCGGCACTTCCATTAGGGCGTGTCCAGCGCGTACATTTACAGTTCATAAACCCATTCAGTTACCACATTTCCTATTGTAACACTGCATTTTACAAAAAGGTTGGACACGATCAGCTTCCGTTCACAAGACGGCACGCCCGCTGCGCGTACGACGAATCGTCTAACACACGTTACTGGAATCAGTGTGCGCGCGAACAAGGGTACAGCATTGCGTCCTGCCCGCTACAGTAATTTTCGTTCAAGCGTGGAATTTTCGCTTGTGCGTGAATTTCTGTGCGATGATAGACGAGGCAACCAGTTACCTCGTTTCCACGAACTGTAGAAATTTGTGTGCAGAGGGTTGTGTCCGCGCGCTGGAAGGCCCAATCCTTCGGACTCGACTCACCTTATATTCGTTTTTTGGTACAGTGAGATTTTTTGAGCCGGGAAACGTGTGAAGGTACTAATATTCCCAAAATGTACGCGCTGGACACGCCCTTACTGACGGAAATGCTCATAGGAAAGCAAGCAACATCCCCAACATTCACTGAGGGCGGGTCACGGTTTTGCGTACACCCTGTTTCTCGCTACACTGAACTGCGGAAACACACTGAACAGTGGAACTATTCCTTGGACGTATTTGAAAAGTTTACAATATCCGTCTCTAGGAGGCGGGTGATCCGAAATTTCGTTGACCTGGGTACCCTACCGAGCCATATTAAAAGTTTAATCGACCGTCTTCAAAGGTAGCTGACCTCGTCAAACCGAACTGGTGCAAAAGTTTACTATATCGCGTAATTTGGCGCGTTGAGCCACAGGGTTCAGTATACCGGCATACACAATATCGAGAAACAGGGTGTACCTGATTCGTTTTATGCGTTCCAGTACGTTAGGGCGGGTCACGTTTAGATGAACCTGACACGTTTAATGCGGTTCGGTGCTCTAGAGAAGGGTTGAAGACGATTCTAAGTTTACACCGAAGCTAACCGTATTTTATCGCTTTTTGACGTACTTGAACGCATTAAACGTACCAGGTTCATTTAAACGTAGGGGACCGCATAACACGATTCCGGATTTCAACCAAAGCTAACCCCTATATATCACGTTTTAACGTAGTGGACCGCATAAAACGAACCAGGTACGTTAGAACGTGACCCGCCCTGAATCCATGAAACCATGAATCCATGAATCCATCGCTGCCTGCATTTCATGGCTACGTTGCTTGCATAACTCGTGGTGATGTTTGTCCTACAGACCAGTGCTTCGTTCGCCGAGTTTGCTGGCTTCGGATTCAGGCACAGCAGGTTTTGGCATATTGAATGCATCCTAGACTTGCAGCCCATATGCATTCAGACCTTAGCTTATGCACATAACTTCCCTGCAGCCTCGACTCCTGCATTTCTTATCTGAATATCTGAATAGCTTACTCATACTCAAACCCCCCATACTTACTAAAACTGAATCAGCTCAATTTCCTCGCTCTTGTATTCAGCACCATAAGCTTTAGCAAGCGATCAACTCGCGTGGGTTACACTCAAAAATCGTTTTTAGAGCTTGCCGGTTTAAAACATGGCTGAAAAGGATCTGTCAGACTTACCCGCCAGAGCCGAGCCAGCTCTAGACACCCTTCGTTCCATGGCCGAACCTGCTTTAAAAACACTACGCACTATAAGCGAACAGGTCGGTAGCACTATCCGACCGTACCTCATCCCCTTCGCCATCATCCTCGCTATAGTCATCCCCATTAACCTGGCATTTCAGTCAAACCCCGGTCTGCTCTCCAGCGGCTGGCGTAGCGGGGAAGGCTCGGCAGCGTCGCTTCCGTACCAGCCACCGAGCCTCGGATGGGCTGCATTTCTGTTTCCCAGCATGAGCGGCATTGACGCGGCTATATGTCGTGCAGAGGAGAATTACTGGGTGAGATTCCGATTCCGATTCCTTATACATTTCAGTCAGTCAACTAAAAAATCGATACGAGTCTTTCTCCTTTTTCTATGGTACAGAGTAGATATTGTTTCTGGCGATCCGAGTCTCTGCTATGCTTCCGCGTTGCTCTTTCCCAGCATGAGTTGCATTGATGCGGCAATCTGCCGTGCAGAAGCGAATGACTGGGTGAGATTCCGGGCTGAAAACTTCTTGGTCTCCCGCTCTTCCCCATAATGCCCTTCCCGCAGGAGAACCTCGTGCTGAGAAGGAAGGCGTGCAAGGGAATGCTGTACCCGCCACCTGCGCAGTACACACCTGTCTTGATGAAGACCGTTGTGCTCATCCCCACGTACCCGTGCCCGGCTAACGAGCGCATTGGGGAGTGGGGGGATGGCGGAAAGGTGAGACGAAGAAGCGACTGAAATTTTCCAGTGCTCTACAAATCCTTGGGTCCCAACTTTAGCTTGCTGCGGGGAAACCTTTCAACTGCCTCTACCCACCCCAATCTCCCGTTCCCCATCTCAACCTCTCTCTATCCACCCCAATCTCCCTGTGCCCTTCCCAATTTCCCTCTACTCATCCCCTTGTTCTTCCTGATCCCCACAGTGGACTTGCTTGCTGCCAGGCGCCATTCAGAAGGACCCTGTCGTGTACAGGTGAGAGGGGGGGGGGGGGGGGGGGGGGGGGGAGGGAGGGAGGTGAGGAATGAATGGTGCTATTCGTACATGGTGCTATTAGTGGATGGTGATAGTGAATGGTAGCGGCGTCATCAGTGGACTGGTCGTCCTCCCTCCACCTCCACACCATCTGCCTCTCTGCAACCCTTTCTGTTTCTGATGCCCCTTGGAACAAACAACCTCTCCTCCCTCCACTTCCACCCAGTCAGTCTCTCTGCATTACGTTCACCTTCGACCCATCCTCCCTTCAAGCAAATTCCTCTCCCCAAGGGCTTACTCTCCCACTCTCTGTGCTTACTCTTCCCATCCGATTTCCAGCATTGGCTGTCACGGGCAGTACTCATTCGAAGACTCAATCTACAAGCTTCTGCACGTGCAGTCACACACGTTCGACCCGTTTCTTGATCCAGCCACCACCACCCGCATGCAAAACGTCTCCTCCCTCATCTTCCACCCCATCGGCCTTTCTGCAAGCTCCGTCCTCCAAATCTACACCGCCAAGTTCCCTCAAAAGCAGTTCAAGACACTAGGAGGCATCATGCAGCTGTTGAATCATTCATATGTGGACGTGTTCAAGATTGACTGCGAGGGGTGTGAGGAGGCGCTGATTACGGAGATCGGGGCGGCGAATGGAAATGCAGCTGCGCAGCTGAGTTTGCACGGGGGCACGCTGCCATTCGGACAGATCTTGGTCGAGTTTCACAAGTGAGTTGAATGAAAGGGAAAGCACCCAGGAAGAACTGGCTGTGGGACTGGTTCTAAGCGCACCAAGTTACAAAGACTGCTGCCTGTTCTTAACGTTTATTCCAAGCTCCAAACATTCTTATTCCCGCTTTCTCCCTCTCTCACTTGCTTACTTGTTTTTCTCCCTCCCTCCACCAGAATGCACCTGCCCCAGGTCACCCTGCCGCTCGTCTACACGTTGGAGAAGCTTGGGTATCGCATGTTCAGCATTGAGTACAACCAGCAGTGCGCGAAATGCTGCGAGATGAGCTTCATTCATGAGAGCCTCGTGCGGCCAGGTAGTGATAAGAACTGTCACCCATTTCTGGCTTCGGAAGTGTTTGTAAGCAAGGAAGATGCAGATGCTGTGATGCAGGAAAAGCTGGGATTTGGAAGTGACTTGAAACAATCGGGTGGAGGTTGAAAGAATCGGGTGGAGGAGGTTGAGTATTTCCGACACTAGCACCCCGTGGAAGTCGGACATTGGGAGCCATTCCGGTATGAGCACATGTAATTATTATGCTGTGTAATCACATTTTTTGTGAGGTGCTGTCAATCTGTAACGTTTTTGCTCAGGAAGTACAGGTGCTGAATGGTTGATCAAAACCGATAGCTATAAAGGGATTGTTTACAATATGTGGCTTGCTACGAGGTTTGTTTCTGGCATGGTAAGGTCCCCACGAGAGAGGTTTCGCCTACAGCTTATGACAAGCTAGGCTGAATGCAGCTCTGGATGACAATTAGAGCAACATCAAGTAATCAACTATATATTTGTTATCATCTCACGCTACGTGAACATAATATTATACAGGTTGAGGCCGGCTGCATCATGACAAGCTCCTTCAGTCAGCTTGTCCTGTAAGTAGATAGTGAGGTATGGTATAAGTAGTTATATCACACAATGAAATCAGGTAAAACATATGATTTCGTTCCACCTCCTTGTCCCTTCCACACTTCAATCGAAAGATGAGGGCTTATACCGAGTTCGCGGAAAGTCCGACGGTCGGGCCCAGAAAGCAGTGAACTTCTGGCCCTGACCAATCAACAGTCCTGCTTTTCCTTTGGGGCCTGCACAAGAAAAGGCGGTGGGTGCTGACCAAGAAAATCCCGCCAAAACATTTCTCTTCCGCGCAACCGCTGACACAATGCTCATTGCATGGTAACACAACAACATTCCCCCGCATTCACTGAACCGTGAACCAAGAATGAATCCATGGCTGCTGGTATCTCAGTTTGCTTCCCCAGGTCGTCATGATCACGTTTCTTGCTTGCAAGAGTGGGTATGTTGGATAACTTGCGTTGATTATTGAGGTACGAACTTTCTTATCTAGACGCCTAATGCAGAAGCAATTTTCGGATTCTCAGTTCCTGAAGTGCTTCAGTGTCCGAGTTTTCCTGCTTGGGAATCTGGCACAACAGGCACAACGAATTCATCCAAATGTTCTGCAACCTACATGCATTCACGCATCTTCCCGTACATAAATGTGGCCTCGACTCCTGCATTTCTCAACTGGATATATTTCTTAGCTTATCCGAGAATAGATTACCCAATTACGCCAAACTGACGGTGGCCATTGAGTACCTCGCCGTTCCCGCTCTTGCTTTCAGCATCATCAGCTCTCCGACAAGCGATCAAGTCACGTGGATTATACTCAGAATCCGTTCCAGAGCTTGACAATTTATAGAAATGGCTGAAGAAGTATTGTCAGACCTACACGCCAGAACCGAGCCAGCTCTGAACAGCCTTCGTTCCATGGCCGAGCCCGCGTTACATTCACTACGCACCATAGGTGAACAAGTCGGTAGCACCATCCGTCCGTATGTCATCCCTTTCGCCGTCATCCTCGCTATAGTCATCCCCATCAATCTGGCATTCCAGTCGAACCCCAGTCTTCTCTCCAGCAGCTGGAGCAGCGGCGGAGGATCGGCAGCGTCGCTTCCGTACCAGCCGCCTAGCCTCGGATGGGCTGCATTTCTGTTTCCAAGCATGAGCGGCATTGACGCGGCCATTTGCCGTGCAGAGGAGAATTACTGGGTGAGTCTCTGATCCGGATCATTTCTTACCTTTCGACTTTCTTGTACCAGCAGCTTATGATTCTTGGTGAACTGGTGTTCTGGCGAACTGTACCAGCAATCGACCGGCGTTCTCAAGTCTGTCCTATCTTTCCGCGCTTCTGTTTCCCAGCTGTCGCCATGAAGACGAGTGTGGGCATCCCCGCGTTTTTTTTTGTTAAATGATGAAAATTTGGAGAAACTTTGTGCTGAGAAGGAAGGCGTGCAAGGGAACGCTGCACTCACTGCTCACATTCATGACAGCTGTCGTGGTCAAGGCGAACCCTCCTCCCCCAACCGTCTACAGGAGAACCTCGTGCTGAGACGGAAGGCGTGCAGGGGAACATCGTACCTACCTCACCTTTCCCGCACTCCCCCAACCTCTTACAGGAGAGCCTGAGACGGAAGGTGTGCTCATAACGCTGCACCCCACATTCCCTCTCCCATCCTCCCCCCCAATGCCCTTCCCTCAGGAGAACCTTGTGCTGAGACGGAAGGCGTGCAAGGGAACTTTGTACCCGCCACCAGCATCCATGACAGATGTCGTAATGAAAACTCTCGTCCTCATCCCCACGTACCCATGCCCGGCGAATGAGCGCATTGGGGAGTGGGGGGACGGTGGAAAGGTGAGACAAGGGATGAAGGGTTGGGGAGAGGGGGGATGGGAAGCGAAACAATCGCGGAAGCTGGCGCTCATCCCCACGTACCCGTTCCCGGCGAACGAACGCATTCGGGAGTGGGGGGACGACGGAAAGGTGAGTTTAACCGGGATCAAGGGGGGCTATGGGGGAAGGGGACCCGGAGAAAAGTGAGCGATGGGGAGATGTGAGTTGAACGTGGGAGATTACGTACCCGTGCCTAGGGAACGAATGCATTGGGGAGTGGGGGGGTGGCAGAAAAAAGGTGAGACACGCAACTCTAGCTTGCTGCAGCAAAACCTTCCAACTCCCTTTACCCACCCCAAACTCCCTTTACCCACCCCAATCTCCCTTTACCCACCCCAATCTCCCTTTACCCACCCCAATCTCCCTTTACCCACCCCAATCTCCCTTTACCCACCCCAAACTCCCTCTACCCACCCCAAACTCCCTTTACCCACCCCAATCTCCCTTTACCCACCCCAGTCTCCCTTTACCCACCCCAGTCTCCCTTTACCCACCCCAAACTCCCTTTACCCACCCCAAACTCCCTTTACCCACCCCAATCTCCATCCGACCACCCTCCTCCCCGTTCCTTGCCCATTTTCCCCCGCCTCACCACCAACCACAGTGTACTTCCCTGCTGCCACCCTGTCTCTCTCTCAACCCACGACTATCTCTCTCTCAACCCAGCCCATCTCCCTCTATTCACCCTCCTCCCTTTCCTCACCACCGCAGTGGACTTGCCTGCTGCCAGGCGCCATTCAGAAGGAGCCTGTCGTGTACAGGTGAGGGGCGAGGGGGTAGGTTGCATGACAAGTGAGGGCAGTAGGGGGGTGTGCTTGCTGAGAAGGGTAGGAGGGTAGGTGCAATTTCGTTATCGTGCACGTGGTGTCAGTGTGTGGGTGAGTGTGTAGGGGAATGTGTAGATAAGTGTGTCGGTGAGTTTGCAACTGAGTGTGTCTGTAAAGTGTGATGGGCCTTCTCCTGATTTCTGTGCATGCCCTGCCCATCCCATATCCAGCATTGGGAGCTTCGGGCAGTACTCATTCGAAGACTCTATCCACAAGATTCTGCATGTGCAGCCACACACGTTCGACCCGTTCCTCGTTCCCGCCACCGCAGCCCGCATGCAAAACGTCTCTTGCCTCCACTTCCACCCCATCGGCCTGTCTGCTGCCTCCGAGCTCCAAAACTACACCGCCAAGTTCCCTACCATGCAGTTCATGACTCTGGGAGGGATCATGCAGCTTCTCAACCATACATATGTTGACGTTTTCAAGATTGACTGCGAGGGGTGCGAGGAGGCGCTGATTCCGGAGATCGGGGCGGCGAATGGGAATGCGGCTTCGCAGCTGAGCGTGCACGGGGGGACGCTGCCGTTTGGGCAGATCTTGGTCGAGTTTCACAAGTGAGTTGAGCGTATCACAAGGGGCCATATATTCTCAGCTGTTTGTGCACAGATGCAGCCAAGGATTCTGCCGGATCTGTCTTTCAATTCATTATTTCCACTCTGTTTCTTTCTGTTATTCCTTCCTTTTCTCTCTCTTCCCCCTTCCACCAGAATGAACCTGCCCCAGGTCACCCTGCCGCTCGTTTACACGTTGGAGAAGCTTGGGTATCGCATGTTTAGCATCGAGTACAACCCGCAGTGCTGGCATTGCTGTGAGATGAGCTTCATCCATGAGAGCCTCGTGCGGCCAGGTAGCGACAAAAACTGCAGCCCGTTTCTGGCATCGGAAACGTTTGTAGACAAGAACGATGCAGTTGCTGTGATGCAGGAAAAGCTGGGTTTACGAGGTGACTGAAGGAATTAGGTGCTGTAATAAGTTTGTTATGAACCTGTCTTGTTTGCTAGAAAGAGGTGCCTGGCAGATGTTGAAACGGATATGAAGTGCTTACAACATGTTGTTTTCAACGTCGATTTCTGGCGTCTATACTTCGAAAGGTCTCCACGCGCTAGGGTTGAACTTCATTATCTAATCTGTCCAGCAATAGCGGATCTGTCATGAAAGCGCGGGCGCGAAAACGTGAAGGTCATTCGAAACATGGGATATTTTAGGTGACTGCAATGATCGGTGAAATCGGTTACAACTCGTTTGAAAACGGTCTTTGTCTTTATTTTTCTTGTTTCCTTTCGCTGTCATGATGCCATGAAGGGTACACTGTTCTTCTCGCTAGAACCGCGTCGTACCTCTCGGACCCAAGACCGAGGCTCTCTGACAGCTTCCCCACCAAACCGCGACCAACCAGGCCTCGGTTCGGTTCCCTCACGGCCCACCGTGGTTTGGACACCTCGAACATGCACGACACCTCACAACGAGCATAATCACCGTGCTAAATTGCATGATATCTCACCTAGCCGCACTGACATGAGTCACTGTACTGGCTGGATTCTGGCGGGAATACTGATTGTGTATCTGTGTAATGAAGCGAGCAATGGCTCCGTGAAACTGCTATTTTAGTGCTGCACTTCAGTTGAAAGGATTCAAGACTGACACCTCTTTCCGAGCTCCACCCCGCAAGACAGAAGCGTGACGCTCGCAACGTCTTACGCAAGTGCCAAATTAGACGAAAAGAAAGGATAATAGTAGTAGTAATACAAAGAAAATCCAGATCGTTTTACTGAAAGTCTGCTGGACGAAATGACGACCCTCGAAGAAAAACCCAAGACGCCGAAATCCTCCCTCCAGCGGGTTTCATCGCTCAAATCCCTAACATCGCCATCTGTAATCAAATCCATCTTACCTCACGCGGTCATTATTGCGGTTATCACGGCGATTATAATTCCCATTTACCTGACGTTCGCGAATCCCGGGTCATTGTCCCTGTCCTGGAGCAATGCCGGAGGGTCTTTCCAGGCTCCTGCTCTCGAATGGACCGGAAAGATGTTTTCCAGTATGAGCGGCTTCGACGCTGCGTTATGCCGAGCAGATGCAGTTTATTTGGTGCGTATTGGTTTGTTTGTTCGATTTGTTTCTTCTTTTCTCCCGACTTTCCGTGTCCTTGTGTTTGATCTTCGTTCCTATGGTGACATTCTCGCTGTCATTCTTGCTTATACCTTTTGGTGAAATGAGTAATGTTCTCCATGTCGAAGAAACAACATGCGACATTGTAAGGAGCTGACTTTTGAGACGACTCAAGAAGGTGCATTGCTGTTTGCAAACTTGGTGAAACGAAGACGAGTTTTACAATACCGTGGTAACAACCCTGGGTGAAACCAGCATTGGCAGTAACCTAGCTGTGAGCATTCCGTTCGTTTGTCTTTCCGTGCAAAAATATTACCGTTCGCCTGCGCTGACGGGAGCTCTACAGCCGAGGACGTGGAATCCCGTGCGAATGACTGGTTACCCTGTAACTTTCTTTTTTAAAATTTATTTCGTGCAGAAGGAGGCGTTGAACGGCGTGCTACAGCCCAAGATATAAAACCCCGTGCGCCTGAGTGATTACCCTATAACATTCCTTTCGTTTATTTCGTGCAGAAGAACATTGCTCGCCGGAAGGAGGCGTTGAACGGCGTGCTACAGCCCAAGATGTGGAACCCCGTGCGCATGAAGGAGCTGGTGCTCATCCCCACGTACCCGTGCGCCATCAACGAACGCATCGGCAAATGGGGGGACGGCGGAAAGGTGAGATAAACAGGGAGGGAGGGGAGGAAGGGGTTAGGAGGGGAGGATTTGAAGGGAGAGGGCTTGTGCTCATCCCCACGTACCCGTGCGCCATCAACGAGCGCATCGGCAAATGGGGGGATGGAGGAAAGGTAATATACACAGGGAGGGAGGGGAGGAAAGGGTGAGGAGGGGGGAATCTGAATGAATGTGCTGGTGCTCATCCCGTGCGCTACCATTGAACGCAACGGCAAGGTATGACCCCTCCTGACCCCATCACGTGGTGATCCCTCATGACCCCATCACGACCCCATCACGTGGTGATCCCTCATGACCCCATCACGACCCCATCACGTGTTGAGCCCTCATGAACCTATCACCTGTTGACCCCTCATGACCTCTTGTTTTCGCTCCGCCTTCCTCCCCATCCCCTGTGCCCTCTCTTCCGCTCTTTCCTGTGCGGAGGTGACGTGCCTTGTGCCGAACGCCATCCATAGACTAATGAACCCTCGTGAACAGCTCATCACCCCTCTACACCCCTCACGACCTCTCCCCACCACCACCCATGCCCTCTTCTGTGCGCAGTGGACGTGCCTTCTGCCCAACGCCATCCAAAAGACTAACCCCGTCGTTTACAGGTGAGGGGAGTGTGCTGGGGTGAGGGGAGTGTGATGAGGTGAGGGGAGTGTGATGGGTTGAGGGAAGCTTCTGTTGTTTGGTCGTTGAATCTTTGATGGAACGTTGATATTTTTAGAAGCATTAACATGCATCTGTTTGATAAAGAAGCTCACAGGATACAGTCTTCTGATCCCACGACCCCCTCTTGTTCCTCCTTTTAACACCCCCCTTGCTCTTCTCTCTCTCCCCCTTTTCCGCCGTCTGAGAGCGTCTTGCCATGTATTCGTTTGAGCAACTTCATGTACGAGATACTCGCCAGACCCTCTCACTCTTTTCTCCCCCCCTTCATGTACGAGATACAGCATTGGGAGCTTTGGCATGTACTCGTTTGAGGAATCCATGCACAACATACTAGGCGTGAAGCCCTACACCTTCGACCCCTTTCTTAATCCGACCAACTTGGAAATTATGAAAAACCTCACATGCCTTCACTTCAACGAAATCGGCATGTCTGGGGCGGCATCTCTCGCCGGCTACAAGAAAAACTCTCCAGACAAAAAGTTTATGACTCTGCCCGAAATGATGAAGGAGATGGGGCACACTTATGTGGACGTGTTCAAGATTGACTGCGAGGGGTGCGAGGTGGAAATGGTGAAGGACATGTGGGCGGCATATCAGAACACGGGGAATAAGCTCGCGCTGCACGGAGGGAATCTGCCGTTTGGACAGATCCTCATCGAGTTGCACAAGTGAGTCACTCTATATGGAGTATTTTTGTGACCGGGTGAGTACCCAGTATGTGGTTGAGCGTGGTCAGCCTTGCTCCTTATGATCAACATGTATGGGTTCTTTTTCACTCTTGAATCCGCCTGCGTGCTGGTTTGGCTTGAATGTTGCTGTTCAGCATCCAGCATCCAGAGACCCTTCCCATTACATTCTCGAGAGGCTCGGGTATCGCATGTTCAGCCTCAGCTACAACCCCTAGTCTGCCTTTCCCTTTACCATATGACTGCCCCCCCTTTCCCCCACCCCTCCCTTTCCTCCCAATTCCCCATCCCTAAACAACCCCTCCTCCCCATTACCAGCATGAACAGTGCTCCTATTTCCCTCGAGACCTTCTACACTCTTGAGAAGCTCGGGTATCGCATGTTTAGCATCGAGTACAACCCGTACTGCCCCATGTGTGTCGAAATGAGCCTCATTCACGAGAGCCTTGTGAAGCCCTCGAGCGAGACCGACTGCCGGCCGTTTGTAACACTTGAAATTAAGAATGCAGGTGAGGAGAAGGGGAAGGTTGGGGGTGCAGGTGCAGGTGGCAAATAGATGGCGGAAGTGCTTCAGAAGGAAGGGGTTGATGGTTTGGAGTAGGTCTCAAAGGCAATCGAGATTTTGAAAGGAGGTGGTGTGAACAGGAGTTTTCTACGGAGGAATTTAATTTGGTGCAAGATTTGCCAATAGATATAATTAGAGGTATACTTCAGATTATGTATTGATGAGCGCTAGTGCTTCTGCTTTTTAATTTCTTGTCTATCTTGACGACCAGCAGCAATAGAAATTTGTCAAGTTTGAAGGCAATACGGGTATGAAACGTAAGAATTTACTCATGAATGAAGGTCTAGATTGTGTTTTCTAGCGTCAAGATGTGCTGATGAATCTGGGACTACCAACCGATAACGCGGAAAAATCGTTTGTTGCGAATGACGGTGGTATTTGCCAGTTTGATTGGTCGGGCTGGATTCCCGCCAAGCTCGGTGCGCCAAAATCTTGTCAGCCTGGTTCGGGCACCACCTGACAAGAATGTTTGCTTTGACTGCGCATCCTTCCCAGCCCTGACCTTCGAACTGCTGCCCTGTCCAGTCCAGTCACTTGTCAGTCGCCATGAACCACATCCAAAACCTTTCCGAACCAATAATATGCTCTCCCGCCTGTGCTATGGCTGGCTAATCAACTCACCAAAAGCGGAAAACAGTGTCAGAAGATGGCAACAGATATCATATGCTGGACATCAGTACGGTTTCGCAGCAATGAAGTGTCGTGGTGTCAAGAAAGGTTGGAACCAGGTTTTGCTCCGCGGTCGCTTCCCTCTATCTGGATTTCTGGGAATGGAGGTGGAAGAGAAAGGCAAAAGCTAGCATAAAGAGAAGCATAACCTTGGCTTCACTATGCACCAGTCCCGGACATAGCCTGACTCAGTAAAAAGCGTCTTTCTGGAGGAAAAAAAAAAAAAAAAAAAAAAAAAAAAACGTCTTTCTGGAGGATCTGGTTTCGCTCCCAGAGCCGTTTGAGCTTGGTTGCGTCGACGACTGGTTGCTGGTTATAATATCAGGATTCCTTTTCACCAAGGATTTCTAGTTTCTCTATCGTCGGAGCTCTTGCTGCGATCCCCATTCTCACACAGAAAGAAAGGCAAACAAGCATACACATTGATCCAAGATGGGTTCCGATGATTTTAAGAAGAGCCACGCTTCCCCTAATTCCAAATCATGCATCAAATGCATGACTCCGTACGTCATCGCTCTAGGCGTGCTCGTCGCCCTGATGACCTTCTTCCACGTGTCGCCATCGCAGCCGTCGCCTGGATTAAGCTCCTTCGGTCCGTCTTACCTTCCGCCGAATCTCGGCTGGGTCGCGTTTCTGTTTCCCAGCACGAGCAAGATCGACGCGACAATCTGCCGCGCGGAGGCGAATCATTGGGTGAGTACGCGCTGGAAAATGTGTGTCATCATGGGGTGATTTCACGAATATAAACATACACAAAACGCATTTGCAGTTTTTGGCCAGATATTATCACATGATGGGAAAAATCGACTTGGGTTATAATGCATTTTGCATTTTGCTTTTTCGAGTCGTTTCTAAGCGCAGGTGCGAGGAGTTTCAAGGCGCATTCTCGGTCTAAACCCCCTCATTGGATTAACATGGATGTCGAATCAAACACGCACATGTGATAACCTCGTCCTCGTCCTTTCCTGCAGGAGATTTTGGAAAATCTTTAATGATCTCCTCACGGTGCAGGAGAACGTTGAGCTCAGCGAGGGGAGCTTTGTCTTGAAGCGCATTTTCGGTCTAAAAGTCCTCATTCAATTACCTTTTCTGCTTTCCGGATTCCCTTTTTCCCTTGCGCTACAGCCAACGCTGGGCAATCCCTTGCCGACTACCATTGTCAGTCTAATCATTCACTTTTTCTCCCTACATTTGCGGATCACCCTGCAGGAGAACGTTGAGCGCCGGCGCAAGGAGTTCAATGTCGCGCTACAGCCGATGCTGGCAGATTCCTTACCTGCCAGCATTATCCGTCTAAGCATCCACCTTTTTGCCCTGCTTTGCTGTTCACTCTACAGGAAAACATTGCCGGTGCAAGGAGTTCAATGGCGCGCTACAGCCAATGCTGGGCAGCCCGCTGTTTGTCAACATTCTCCGTCTAAGCATTTACATTTCCTCTCTCTTTTATCGGAATTTGTTGTTTCTTATCGGGACATTTTCCACGTCGCAGGAGAACGTTGAGCGCCGGCGCATGGAGTTCAATGGCGACCTACAGCCGATGCGACCAGCGATTTCCGTCTAAGCATCTATACTTTCTCCCTCGCATCTCTGCAGGAGAACGTTGAGCGTCGGCGCAAGGAGTTCAACGGCGCGCTACAGCCGATGCTGGGCAACCCCGTGCGAATGAAGGAGCTGATCCTCGTGCCCACGTACACGTGTCCCCTCAACGAGCGCATCGGGAAATGGGGCGACGGCGGGAAGGTGAGACAGGGGTTTGGAAAGGTTGGAAGGAATTGAGAGGGGTGCAGTACGGTTCTTAACCCCGTGCGAATGAAGGAGCTGATCCTCGTGCCCACGTACACGTGTCCCCTCAACGAGCGCATCGGGAAATGGGGCGACGGCGGGAAGGTGAGACAGGAATTTGTGAGAGGTTAAGAGAGTCCACTCATTTCGAGCCTCGCGCCTTCCCTCACGCCTCCCCCTATTCCTTTCCCTCTTCCCCTTAAACAAAATGAAAAAGGAGAACGAGAAATGTCGCATTAATAACTTCTGCATGTCCCTCAGTTCAACTGTTCTCGTGCCTCGGTCTCATCCATCCTTTCTCATGTCTCCCTTCTCGTGCGTCCCTTCTAATGCCCCCCTTCCTTCATGCCTCCTTCCGTCCGCAGTGGGCGTGCATGATGCCGTCTGTCATCCAAAAGAAAGATCCGGTCGTGTACAGGTGAGATGCAGTGCGGTTGAGGGCGGTGAGAGGTGGTACGGGTGAGTGCGTGCTGGTGTACAGCTTTTTACGGAGATTTTTTTCATGAGACTGTCACATCACTGGTTCGCACTCTTCTCTTCCGATTCCTACGTCTCTCCTTGGCAGCTTTTGCATGTACTCGTTTGAAAAGAAAAATGCTATGAATGTTGCGCACAATGCCCTTTACCTTCAATCTTTTCCTCCCTTCCTCTCTTCTCTTTTCCCGTTTCCCTCCTTCCTTCTCATCTTGCAGCATCGGCAGCTTCGGCATGTATTCTTTCGAGAAGGAGATGCACCAAATGCTGCGCACCATGCCCTACACATTCGACCCCTTCCTCCCCCCTGCAAAGCGCAACATCATGGCCTCCCTCCCCTTCCTCCACTTCATCGAAATTGGCCTCTCCGGAACCGCCTCAATCTCCACCTACCGCACAAAATTCCCCGAGAAAAAGTTTGCGACGCTGCCCGAAATGATGGGGCAGTTCGGGCACAGCTACGTGGACGTTTTCAAGATTGACTGTGAGGGGTGTGAGGTCGAGTGGATCAAGGACCTTGGCCAGCTGTATAACAACACAGGGAAGAGGCTGGCTGTGCATGGGGGGAAGCTTCCTTTCGGGCAGATCCTCATCGAATTCCACAAGTAAGGGGTATTTTCTAGTTAGTTTAAATATTTTTCGTTGCCGCAGCCATTTTCCCTGTTCAGTGCCCGTTGCGGCACCCGTTTTCTCAGTGGTTGGTCTCTTGCTGTCTCTACCCTAACCGCATGTCCCAACTTCTATCTCCCCTGCCCCCCATCCTCGTTATTGCCTTTCTTCCCGTTTGCAGCATGGACAAGAGCGTCAAGACCCTGACCATGGTCTACACGCTAGAGAATCTTGGGTATCGCATGTTCAGCATTGAGTATAATCACCCCGTCCCCCTGCTTCTCCATCCTCGTTATTGTCTGTCTCCTTCCCGTTTACAGCATGGACAAGAGCGTCAAGACTCTCACAATGGTCTACACGCTCGAGAATCTCGGGTATCGCATGTTCAGTATTGAGTACAACCACCGCTGCGCCGTGTGCTGTGAGATGAGCTTCATTCACGAGAGCCTTGTGCGCCCAGATAGCGCCACCGATTGCCGCCCGTTCCTGGCGCCCCCGCTAGAGGACAAGCTGGAAGTGGAGGTGGTGACTGAGGGAGGTGGTACTGGTGATGATGGTGCTGCTGCTGGTGATGGTGATGGTGCTGCTGCTGATGGTGATAGTACTGGTGATGGTGTTGGTGATGTTGATGGTGCTGCTGCTGCTGCTGCTGTGGCTGCTGAAAGCACTGGTGGTGCTGTGGATGGTGTTGAAGCTTCTGGCACTGATGGTGCTACAGATGATGCTACTGATGCTGATGGTTCAGCTGCTGCTGCTTCTGCTTCTTCTGCTGCTGCTGATGATGATTCAGTCGCTGAAGCTAAGGAAACTACGGAGGCCGAGCCTGCAGGTGATTCTGATGAGGTGCCTGGGAACAAGGAGGCTGTTGATGAGACAGAAAAGGAGAAGGTGGGAGAGGATACTGAAGAAGAGGAGACGGCGAGTGAGAAGACAGGTGGAAACAGGAAGGTGAAGTTTGGAGGGGAGGGCAAGGAGGAGGGGAGCAGGAAGGGGAGCAGCAAGGGGATTAGCAAGGTGATCAGCAAGGGTAGCGCGATGGGAAGCACCAAGGAAAAAAGTACCAAGGTGGGGAAGAAAATCAAGAAGGCGAAGAGCAGCAAAACGAGCAAGAAGGAAATCAAGGAGGAGGAAGAGGAGTGACCGTGAGTGAGTGGGCCATGGAAGTAATGTTGGTGGGGTTGGAAAAGAGCCTTTTAGACCAACTGAGTGGAGGGTTACCAGATGAGCATTTATACAAGAGCATGGTTGAGCATATTAAGGAGTGCGTATGGATTCATGTTGTTGCGAGTTAGCCTTCCATAAACTATCTATAGGTGTCAGTTGAGAATTCTTCATGATAAACTTCGATACAGACTTTGAACAGGAATTCTGTTTTTGAACATAAACAGGTTGTACAAATGGGAAACGATTGGGCTAAAAGAGCATTGTCAGCAGAAATGTAACCAGGTCACAGTCCGTTCCCAAAGACAGGGATTGCGAGATGAATCAAAGACATCTTTCGCGAACAATCTAACTTGTTAGCGAACTTCGCGTCAGGCTTTTCGCACTGCCCCTCCCATAATTCATTTACCGAGCCGCAAATGCCGCAATTGGAGGTTGAGCAATGCATTACTGGGAATCGAATTATCGAGCCTCCTAAAATTCACGAAGCGTGTTACCGTGATTTGGATGCAAGATGTTAGAATGGACTAAGCTACTAGCGGAAGCTTTAGTAGTCTTAGAACCTCCTAAAGCCTAGGAATCTTAGGAGCCCACTTGGGCATGAACCATGCTAGAACCAAAGTGGTTTCCAAGAAGTGAAGTTCCAACAAGAGAGAACCCTAACCTCTAGGGTTTGGGAGGTGGTCCACTCTAAGGAGTGTACACCACAAGTGCTCCCAACCCAACCAATGTATTCTACACTACTATAGTGTATATGTACCACTACATATGTTTATTGGAGCAACCCGAATTAACCTTAATTCCAACACCCCCCCTTGCTCCAATAAGCATACGAGGGGAGTTCCCTCGCCCCCCACGGCGATCATGTTGATGGAAGTTGGCCCCGCCCTCAGACTTACTTGGTGGTCGGGTGTGTGGGAGATGCAGCCGACCCTCTGCAGTATGCGAGATTTGGAGCTTCTGCGCAGGTTGGGTGAAGGGTTGCCTGTACACGAGGTGTATTAGGGAACCCAGGCAAGAGCAACTGAAGCATCCGCGAGTGCAACGCAAGTGCCTCGTGCACATGTGCAAGTGGCGTAGCTGGTGCAGAGGTTCGCGGGTGTTTATCGGCGCAGGGTCGCGTCTGACCCTGCGCACCCTCGCGAATGCACATGCGAATTTTGGCCAAATTTTCGAATGTGCCCTAATTTCGACCAATGAGGAGCTGACATTTTGGAATGTCGACCGAGGTGGTCGACGACGGTCGTCGACCCGCGACGACGAAGGTCGTCGACCGCGACGACGAAGGTCGTCGACCTACGATGACGAATGTCATCAACCTGCAGGGTTACCCGCTCGACGAGGTTCTGCGGAGGTGCGCGAACGTCGTCGAGGTTGCTGTGGCGAAGTCGACCGACGTGGCAGCACGTGGTCGACGTGGCTAGTCAGGTGCAACCGACTGCATGTGGCCGACCTGGCACCTGCGCAATGTGCTCGACATTGCACGTCGTGCGTAACTGTCTACAAGCACCTGCGAAGTAGGTGCTTGCACATGCGCTTACAATCACCTGCGGATGCAATGTTGGCAAGCCGCGCGGGTGCAGCGTTGGCAGGCCGCCATTCTGCAGCGTTGGCAAGGCGTACACTGTTAAGAATTAACAAGCAGGAAAATGATGTAAACTATCGAGAGAGTTGGTACAAGTACAAAACCTAAAGGGGTTGTACCCCATGTTGGCTACCCCACTATAGCCTACCCATTATACCATAGCATATATATAGTTTGACACACCCCCATAGGCAAAGTGGGGGAGAACAAGGGGTCACAAGACCAGTCAAGAAAAGCAATGCAAGCTCAGGGTGGATCACAACGTCACCACACACTCCGAGCACAAGCAAAATGGCCACAATGCCAGTTCACATGCAGAGGTATATATGCAACAACAACAGTACAGTGATCACTACCTGGCAAGAGTAAACATGCAGGAAGATATATATAGACCACAGTACAACCAAAGTCTACAGCAAGTGAGGAAACGTAGGCACCAGGCCTAGAGCAGTGCAGAAGCGCTGATGATCACCAGCCGGAAAGGCCTTGGTGAACACAGGGTGGGCACGTGGGCGACACGAAGCTGACCACGCTGCTGCAACTCTCGAGCAAGGAAGTAACGCAGAGCGATGTGCTTCGTTCTGTGCTCCAGTCTGTGGTCCTGACATAAGGCAATGGAAGCCTTGTTGTTGACATACAGAACTGGAGGAGAACGAGGCCTCTCTCCCAAGTCGGTCAGCAGGTAGGTGAGCCAGCGTAACTCCTGTGCAGCCATGGCTGTGGCGTAGATCTCAGCCTCACAACTGGAGCCGAGAACAGAAGACGAGCGGGTAGACCGCCAAGAAACAGAGCCAGAGCCAAGGCTGAACGTGTAACCCTGTGACGACCGCTGCGTAGCCAGGTCGTCAACCCAAGAAGCGTCTGAGTGCCCAGTGAGGACAACTGAGCTCCGCCCTCCAAGCACGAGCCCCATGCCCGATGTACTGCACAAGTAGCGCAGTACCCTCTTCGCAACATCGAAGTGCACCTTTCGGTGCCTACCAGGAGCCACGTAGCGTGCCAGAAGGCCAAGAGGGTACGCAAGGTCAGGACGAGTGCAGGTCATCAGGTACATGAGGCAGCCCACTAGCTCTGGGTACGGACCACTCGGCTCTACGGACTCGTCCGAAGGTGGAGCTGAGAGCGAGTGACCTGTAGCCAGGGGAGTGGACTGTGGCGAGGACCAAGTGAAGCCGAAGCGCTGAAGGACCTGCTGCACCATGTGTGACTGAGTCAGTGTGATGGTGCGCCGTGCTCTGTCCCGGGTGATCTGCAGGCCAAGGTAGCTGCGCAGCTCACCCAGGTCTGTGCACGTGTGTCTCTTCTGCAGCTCCGACTTCACAAGGGCGAGAGCCTCAGTGTCAGCAGTGGCAAAGACCAAGTCGTCGACGTACACGAGGATGTAGAACGGCGGCAACGAAGTGTCGGTGCGCAGAAACAACGACGGGTCAGCAGTGGAAGGTGCAAACCCAAGAGCCGCAAGAGTCGTCCTCAGTGTGTCGTGCCACTCACGAGGCGCCTGACGGAGACCGTAGACCGGCCGGCGGAGGCTCCACTGGGTACCAGGAGGGAACGACCCAGTGAAGCCAGGTGGGCGGCACAGCCAGATCTCCTCGTGCAGGCTGCCCTGTAAGAAGGCTGTGCTGAAAACCAGAGAGTGAAGCTCGTAATCACGCTGAGCGGCGACGTGCAGCAGTACCCGAAGAATAGTCATCTTCGGGGTGGGGGAGAAGGTCTGGAAGAAGTCAACTCCCTGTCGCTGACTGAAGCCTCGTGCAACGTAACGAGCCTTGAAGACAGGCGGAGAACCCGACGGCCACTTCACCCTGAAAATCCACATGCCATCGACTACGTTCGCCACAGGAGGGGGAACAGCGTCGACGTAAGTGCCTGTGGACTTCCAGGATGCCATCTCCGCGTCCATGACTGTCTGCCACTGAGAGGAGTACTCACCCGCGATCGCCTCAGCGTAAGAGCGCGGGGTCGGGATGTCTGGAGCATCCGGGTCTCCCTCAGGGGCAAGCAGCATGGCCACGAGATGAGGCGCAGCGGCTGCAAGACACTCAAAGTCCTCCTGCCTGTCCTCAAGGACGTCCGTGCCAAGAGCACACTCACCCCCGACGGACGGAGGACAGACAGACTCAGACTCAGCAACAAGACTAGCAGCGAAGTCTAGACGACAGGCAGCAGCAAAGTCAACAAGCTCAGGATCTAAGGCAGACGCAGCAGCAGACTCAAACGATGGGTCAGTGACAACAGTGGCTAGCAGACGCGTGACAGTAGGGTGAGCAGCACGAACCAGGTCAGACTCAGGGTCCGGAACGTGAGGCAGAGAAGACGCAGGAGGAGACGGCAGAGGGACACGCTGTGGAACAGAGGAAGGACGAAGTGCCATAGTGTGCGTGCCGGGGACAGGAGGAGGACGCTCACGAGGAACACGTCGACCAGTGCGACCAGCGCGAACAGGCGAGGCAGGACGAGACACAGGCTCACGACGCTCTGTAAGCGAGTCTGTCTGCTCAGTGTAAGGAGTAGGAGCAGGCAGTGGTGCGCCGGGCTGTAACGGGAGGCCAGTAGAAGACGGGAGGCTAAGAACCTGGCGAAGCATGGAGTCAGGCGGTGGCAGAGACGACGGTGACGGCGCAGCGAAAAACAGTCGCGGCTGTGCAGTACCACTAGCACTAGTACCACCAGCTCCAGCGCCTCCAGCAGCTCCAGAACCTCCAGCTCCAGCGCCTCTAGCTCCAGCGCCTCCAGCTCTAGTACCTCCAGCTCCAGCGCCTCCAGCGCCAGCGCCTCCAGCTCCAAAGCCCGCAGCACCACAAGCTCCGGCAGCTCCAGCACCTCCAAGACGAGCACCAGCAGCTCCAGCGCCTCCAGCTGCTCCAGAACCTCCAGCTCCTGCGCCTCCAGCAGCAGCACCTCCAACTCCAGTGACTCCAGCAGCAGCACCTCCAGCTCCAGCTCCTCCAGCAGCTCCGGAACCTCCAGTTCCAGCGCCACCAGTAGCAGCACCCCCAGAAACGGCACCCCCAGCTCCAGGGTCTCCAACGCCAGGGTCAACAGCACCAGCTCCAGGGCCTCCAGCCCCGGTACCTCCAGCAGCAGCACCAACAGAGCCGACACCTCCAGCTCCAGGAGCAGTACTAGTCCCGGCAGCTCCAGTACCTCCAGTACGAGCACCTCCAGGACCAGAGACACCAGCACTCCCAGCGCCTCCACGACAAGCAGCTCCAGCAGCACGACTCCTCAGGCGGGTATGCGACGCAAGCTACTCTCGTGCCTGCTGTGGTGAGACAGGCCCGCGTCGTGAAACGAGACCCAGAGGAACGCCAAGTGATCTATTGCTCTGATACCATGTTATGAATTAACAAGCAGGAAAATGATGTAAACTATCGAGAGAGTTGGTACAAGT